CCTGTTTTAAAAATGAGGAAATTGGGGTACTGGGAAATTTTTAAATTGGCACAAAGTCTCTTGGTGATTGCAGAGCGCACAGTCTTAACTACTCTCTCAGGCTGCCTCTCTATATAAGGAGTTCTGATCATAACCTGGCAAATCGTTTATCCATCCTTCCAGCCAGCTGGCCACTCAATCAAGTATCTAGCAAGGACGTAGGAGGGATGGGATATAAACTGTCAATAAGATAGACATGGTCATTGTCCTCAGGATGCTTTCTAGAGAAGAGAAGGAACAATCAAGCAAGCATCCACACACAGTGTAGTTTATGCTACAGTAGGGAAGTGTATGGTACTCAGGGGCATAGAAGACTCTGATCCAGTCTGGAGGTGTCAGGTCAGCAGGTCAGAAAGTTGTTGTCCTTATTTGCCTGTGTTCTTCAGGCATTTTGTAGCATACATATAACATATCTTCAGAAGGAAAGGGCTTTGAAATAAGGTCCTCTTCTATCTTGTTACCCAGATGCCTGCCACATAGTAGCTGCTCAATCAAAATTTGTTGAATAAATAAATGAGAGTTCTAATGCTTCATAATAATTCCATTGTGACAGGGGGTCCTTCGAGTTATTTCTAACTTTATATTTATTCTGAATAGTCTTAAACACTTCTCCTCTAAGCTTGAAATAAATGAATATATCCTTTTGACTTACGAATTCAAGTCTCTTCTTTTTTTTTTTTTTTGACTAGAGACAGAGTCTGGCTTTGTCTCCAGTCACCATCTCAGCTCACGTTAACCTCCGCCTCCTGGGTTCAAGCAATTCTCCTGCCTCAGCCTCACCAACAACTGGGATTACAGGTGTGCACCACCATGCCCAGCTAATTTTTGCATTTTTAGTAGAGACGGGGCTTCACCATGTTGGCTAGGATGGTCTCGATGTCTTGACCTCATGATCCACTTGCCTGGGCCTCCCAAAGTGCTGGGAGTACAGGCGTTATCCACCGCGCCTGGCTTCTGCTCCCTTTTAAGCCATTACTAAAAGCTTTAGTCCAAGAAAGCTCCTGCACCCATTATATTTTACCAGAAAGAGAGCTCCCAGGTCTCTTTTAAACCAAGTGCCCTGAGTAGGGATTCTGGGACAATCTGGTAAAGTAGAGACTGGTTGCTTTTTCCCTTTTTTTTTTTTTTTTCAGTTGGTCTGTGGATTTGATGCTCTGCTCACTTTACAAAGTTCTGAAAAACTTGTTCACTTGTTCTTCCTTTACCTGGGCATCATGGCCTGGAAATTTCTCTTACCTCACTTCTCCCCAACGCTTTCACTCTTCAAACGGTGTTAACTTTGGGGAACCAGTTCTTAATTATTTGCCACACAATTTTCTGGAAGACTACAAGAATCCAAGACAAAGCTAGAGGGAGAGGCCAAAAGTAAACTGAAAACCTAGGCTAATGATTTCCCTGAGCAAGAATTTTTGTTATTATAATGCAGTATTTTACATAGGTTGCAATTCTCGAGAGCAGGTGTTGGGTTATGTCTTCTTTATGCTCACTTGGAATGAATGCCTTTGTGCTATTATACTATTTTCCCTAATGAAACAGCAGCAAATATAGGCAGCAAAATAATGTTGGTGGTTGAAGCTAATGCCACGGAGAAACCAAAGCTTCCCAGGGGAAGAGAGACGTTAACTGGGAGCCAGTCATCTTTTTGGTGAGTTGCAGTGGACAGATTTGTATGTGATTTTACATCTTTCTAATTGCATGATCTTACTTCCTAGCCTGATCCCTCTATTTAAAATTGTACCTTGTTCTTTTCTCTGTTTTATGTTTCCTCAGAGCCCTTAACTTCATTATATAATTTAGTTATTAATATTGTCTGACATCTCAGGAACTTTTGTCTGTTTTATTACTTATCCAGGGCCTAGAAGTGACCTGGTACAGGACAGGTGTGCAATAATTCATTTATCTGTTGAATAAATAAGTTATTAATCCTGATGAAAGCAATATTTAAAAAGTAACTATGATTGAGTTTTTTCCTACACGTATTGATTTTATAAATAACTGGGCATGGTGGCTCACACCTGTAATCCCAGCACTTCGGAAGGTTGAGGTGGGTGGATCACCTGAGGTCAGGAGTTCGATACCAGCCTGGCCTACATGGTGAAACCCCATCTCTACTAAAAATACTTAGCTAGGCATGGTGGTGGACACCTGTAATCCCAACTACTTGGGAGGCTGAGGCAGGAGAATTGCTTGAACCCGGGAGGTGGAGGATACAGTGAGCTGAGATCGTGCCATTGCATTCCAGCCTGAGCGAAAAGAGTGAAACTCTGTCTCAAAATAAATGAATAAATAAAAATAAAATAAATGGCTGGACATCAAAAATTATTTTACATAAATCTTATAAGTAGACAAAATATTACAGTAGGACCTCTGCAAAAGCTTTGATGGTCAAAACTCACATGGATCCTATTTCTATCATCATGATATGCTCCTCAAAAACATACACATGGAAGAATAAACCTGTGCTGATGAGAATAGAAAATCCTTGAGATTTCCTGAAGCAGGTAGACTTGAATCCCTAAAACTAAGGGCATGATTTGTTTCAGTGTACTCATAACTGTCCGGCAGTAAGGCCAGGGGTGCTTGCCACCCCATGACACAGTGAGGCTCACTAGTTTTATATTTCCATTTCTGGATGAAGCATTATCATTTGATTTTATCTTAGTACAGGATCAGGCAGCTTGTGGGAACTCAAAACATAAAAGATGAATAGAGGAACATATTAATTATTTGGGAGTGTCTTCTACATTTGAGGTTGTCATAATCACAGCAGATGCTTTCTGACAATGACACGTTAGTATGCTGTGAAGACTTCAGTGATTGCTCCAGCTTCTCCTCCTCCCGGCCTCACAGGTTCTGGATTAATATAACAAGTGGATGAGTCCAAAACGATATGGCATTGCAAGCAAATCCTCAACAGGACTTTTCGTTCTTTTTTCTTTTTTTGTGATAGCCATTCTGGTTAGTGTGAAGTGGTATTGTATTGTGGTTTTGATTTGATTTTCATTTACCTAACCACTAATGGTTAGCAAAAACTTTCTTATGTGTAAATTGGCTGTTGGTACATGCTCTTTGGAGAAATGGCTATTCAAATTCTTTGCCCATTTGAAAATGGCTTGTCTTTTTGTTGTTGAGTTATTTATTTTCTGCCTTAGGAGGATGGTTGGAGGAAGAGGGACTCACACCTCTCAGTTGCTTTCATCTAGAACAGAGCTCTGCAACACAAAGCTGGGGATCATGAGTAACGCAGCAGCCTGCTTCTCTCAGGGTATACTACAGAGTATGATCTAGGTTGAGAGGGGGCCCTGTGTTACTGGCTGCACCCATCCATAGTGAAACACCATCCCACTCAACTGGAGGTTGCAGGGAAATGTGTTGTGATTCAAATGCTACAATTGTTTGCAGTTCTTACTGAAATATAAGAGACTGTCTTGAATAAATATTTTCTTCATGCTGTATGTTCTCAGGACAATTTCCAGGAACTTTAAATGGTTATTTATCTACAATTTTCACCAGCTAATGGTGAAAATTTTTTAAGGAATGGATTCGAATAGCTCTTTATATCACCACTCTGGAAATGAGTCCATTTGGATCTTTTTAAATGAATATTTTGTTACTTTTATACTTGCTGGTAAAATAGTGGTAAAACTGTGCTCCATAATTAGTGTAGTAGATATAAAATTGATGTACAATTATAAAGAGCAGTTTTTATAAAAGTACTTGCAAATTTACAAACAGTGAATTAAAATCAATGAGAGTTGAAGACTGACTTTCAAATTCAAATTGACTTTCAACTTCAAATCTAGTCAAATTCTAGAATGAACATGCTTTGGTTTGACAAATAATTTTCAATTTATTGTCATTAAATAGTTGTAAAGAAATATCTGGATAATGAGAGTGACGGTGCATTTCATACTACAGCTTGTTGGTTTTGGTCTAGTTATCTATGTACAAAGCCATCACAGCCATTGAAACAGTCACCAAAATGACACCTGTTTTAATCAGCATAGGAATAATTCAGATGTGGAAATCAAGTTATTAAAATTCGATACCTTTATGTATACATTTTAAAATTTCACTAGCAAAAATGACCATGTATTTCTTAATTTTTGTCTAATTCAAAATAAGTACTGCACCACAAAGTCTTTTAGTAAAACAACTTTCCCAACTCCCCTGATACAGTTATTTGGACTTTGGGGTCTCTTACATTTAACAATTCTTCAAACTCCATATCTGATCATGCACTGGGTTCATATATGAATTGCCAACGAGTTGAATATCACTTTAGTGGAAACAAATCTGGAGTCCCACTCATATTTAAAATGCTTCTCTATACATTTTCCCCACTTTTCCTATCCTTAAGGCCAAGTTAACTATTTAGCTAACTCTAGCTAGCTGTCATTTGGTGAAGAAGTTTGGTTACTTATAAAGGATCACATAAGTATCTTTGAGAAAATACATACTGCTTAATATGTCTAAGAGAATGTTAAAATGTATTCCTTGCTGGAAGTTCTTCACTTTTTGGCAGTTGAATTGTGTGTACTATTGCTTAAAATACAGCAGTTTAAATAACTTATGGGCAGAGAGGGGTTGTATAAGAGCACGGAACTAGGTAAAGATGAATATTTAAGAAGGAAACCAAGCACCTCCCAATGATATTTCCCTGAATAGTTAATGGACTACACAAAGGTAAATAGTGAAAATAGCAAAGTAATTTTCTCTTCTTTGGTTTGGAAAGTTTCCGTGTTAAAGTCTGGCTTCTGTTGAGTGAAACATCTTAGTTTCCCACATAGTGAAAAAGGTAAATGGAAAAACCCACCAATTTTGAAAATTGTAATGCAGTTAAATAGTAAACTGATTAATTGCATTAAAGCTCACTATTAATTTTTTCCCCTATAGAGAAAGGAATACTATCCTACTAAAGCTACTTCACAGTCCAAGCAGGTATTTTGGAAGATGCTTACCTCCCGGTTGGGTTTATCTCCCTGCGGCTTAGGTGAGCGCCGAGACTCTGGCTCCTCCCCAGCTGCTGCGAGCTTCCCACTGCGCTGGGCGCCTGAGAGCCTCCGGAGTTAGGTGTTCGGCCCCGCCCTCTGGACTATTGCTAAAACTCCAATTCTACCAGGCTGATTCCGTTGATTAATTATTGACAAAAGGAAAACACTCCTACGCAAACTTGTGTCCAACCGCACTGCTCCCAGCGACTCCTTCCAGAAGAGAATGCAGGCTGCAGCGCTCCCCTCCCCCCTTGCTCTCTGGTCCCAACTTCTCAGACGCTGCCACTCTCAGTCCTGGGCGATCAGACTGGTCCTCGGAGGAATGCAGCTCAACGACTTCTACATTTAAAAATTTGGTTTTCTGCAGCTCGTTCGCACTTCTCTTGGGACCAGCATCTCGGGAGGGGGCGCTTTCCCGATGCAGGGGAAGCCGGGGCTCGGAGAGCAACAGAGGCAGCAGAGGCGTCGCTGTCACCTCCGGCTGCTGCAGTAAAACCCCGAGCCGAGGCGGGGACGGGGAGGAGGGGATAGGGAGGCGCCCTCCCCCGCGCTGGGGCTGGGATCCCCTACACTACTGAAGGGGCACGTCCTTTGGCGGAGGTAGAGGAGCGGGCCGAGGAACAGGAGCTGCGAAGGTGGGAGCTCTGGGGCTTTAGCCCAAGCAGCGTTAAAGCGCGCAGGGAAAGCCCGCGCCCAGCATCCCTCGGGCCGCAGACTTCGGCAATGGGGCGAGAAGCCCGGGTGTCAGCAGAGCGGGACTGCGGTCTCAAACTCGGCATCAGGCTGCGAAGTGAGCCCGGGGCTCAGGCCCGGCGGCCGGCGGCCAAGAAAGCATCCCACCCCGTTTGTTTGTCAAAAACCAAAGAAAGCAAGCCATTTGAGCACTGGCAGCTAATTCTGGTGCCTCTGAATGTGCGAAGCGCCCCTCCCCGCCCCACTCGCATCCTGCCACCTTGCCCGCCGTAGCTGGGAGGTTAATCGTTAAAAAGGTGGACTCCCTCCGGGGAAACGGATGGAAGGTTCGTGCCCGGAGAACTTGTGTGTGCCCACTGACAAGTGCAGAGAATAATCTGGGCCCGGACTGCGGCAGGAGGGCGAACTGGGGAAAGAGGGCTGGGAGGCGGCGCGGTGGTGCAGAGACGCGCAGCGCCTGCTCCCGCGGCCCCCGGGGCTGGCGTGTCCTGCGCTGACGCTCCGCGCTCGGATATCTTCCCCGGAGGGCGCGGGACGGGCGCGAGCACCTTCCCTGGGAGCCCACATCCGTCACCAGCGATGGCCTCTCCATCCGGAGCAGGGCTTGCTGAGAGCGGCAGAATACCCTGAAGGCTCCGCGCTTTGTATCTTCGTGGCAGAGACCCTTTCTGCCCGAGGCCCAGGGGAGTCCGGAAACGAAAGCCTCTTCTGATGAATGAGCATTTGGGCAGCATCTGCCCATCAGCCCCCACTATCGAAGGAGGAGACACTGCACATGCTCGGCCAGGGCTGATTGTGCTGAAGCGCGAAATTTAGCTGCTGGCAGGTCTCTGCTTATCCTCACAACGCGCTTTCAGCGGGTTCTGCACTGCCAGGACTACGAAGAGGGAGGCTCACGTTATTGGGCGGTGGTGTCTCCATGCAGGAGGCAGGACGTCCCCAGAGGAAGCTAAAGGTAGATGGGGGTAGGGAAGGGAACCAATTGAAACAGCAACTGCATGGAGCCGGTGTTAGACATTTTACATGGTTATCATTTTCTTTTGCTCCCGTGTCTAAATAGCAGCAACCACTGATAGAGTTTTTTTTTTTTTCTTTATCACTTTACGTTGGTCATCTTTCCTTATCTATTGGCTTCTCCCGACACGCCTTGCAATGTTGGCAGGGTAGATATAACCACTCAGGGCACGTACATGAGGAAGTAGAAACCCTAAGAAACGACTTGGCTGGGGCCACCAAGCCCATTTGTGGTGAGACCAATACTATTTACACTAGTTTCTAAATCTTATTTTTCATTATCTATTTTCCCCACTTGGTTGTGACACTCGACCGTCCACGCTGTGATTGGACATTTGTGGAAATATAGAAATAGATCTTCTCGACAAAGGTTTATGAAATGGATATAAGACCTTGTAACTACTACAATTGGAGTTTGGGGAAAACAGATACAGCTGGCAGAGATATTCAGACCATTAAAAATGGTCTTAATTTAATTTAAAAAATGATGTTAAATAACAGACACGTATTATAACCACACACAGGAATACTTTTATTTATATCTTATGCATACATAAGATTATTTATATCTTTATGTATATCTTATGAATAATATACCTTTATGTATATCCAAATGGAGAACAGATACTCCATGTTTTCCATAAAACCATAGAACATTCTCAAAACTTAACTAGATCACAAACTATAGGTCAGCACTTTTTTTTTCTTTTTGAGACAGGGTCTCATTCTGTTGCCCAGGTTGGCGTGCAGAGGCATAGTGACAGTTCACTGCAGTCTCAGCGTCCTGGGCTCAAGTGATCCTCCTGCCTCAGCCTCCTGTGTAGGTGAGACTACAGGCACATGCCACCACACCTAGCTAGTTTTAAAATTGCTTGTAGAGACGGGGTCTCATTTTGTTGCCCAGGCTTAGGTCAATGCATTTAAAAAGCAGAACTCATGCAGACTACATCACCCATCAAAATACAATAAGGATAAAATTAACAACAAAAATTTCTTCTAATAAATATACTATTGGAAATGTAAAGATGTTTTGAATCTGTATTTAAAAGCACGAATGGGAAAAATACAAACTATTTAGAAACAGAAGAAAAACAAAAACCCTACATAACAAAACTGAAAGAGTACAGAAAGCCAAACAATCTATGAAATTATACAGTAAATGTATTTATCACAAAACAATGTACAAAGAGACTTAGAAAAAAATGCAAAAGAATTATGTTAACTGATAAAAATAACAGAAAATAATGAAATAGGAAAGTATAAAAGCAAAAACGAAAATGAAAAAGGAGACTTGATCAATAAAATTAAAAAAAGTAAACCCCACAGTTTCTGCACAGCAAAAGAAACAGTCATTAGAGTGAATCGGCAACCAACAGAATGGGAAAAAATTTTTGCAATCTACCCATCTGACAAGGCGCTGGATATCCAGAATCTACAAAGAACTAAAACAGATTTACAAGAAAAAAACAAACAAGCCCATTGGAAAGTGGGTGAAGGATATGAACAGACACTTTACAAAAGAAGACATTTATGAGGCCAACAAACATATGAAAAAATGCTCATCATCACTGGTCATTAGAGAAATGCAAATCAAAACTACATTGAGATACCATCTCATGCCAGTTAGAATGGCGATCATTAAAAAATCTGGAGACAACAGATGCTGGAGAGGATGTGGAGAAATAGGAACACTTTTACACTGTTGGTGGGAGTGTAAATTAGTTCAATCATTGTGGAAGACAGTGTGGCGATTCCTCAAGGACCTAGAAATAGAAATTCCATTTCACCCAGGAATCCCATTACTGGATATATATCCAAAGGATTATAAATCATTCTACTATAAGGACACATGCACACGAATGTTCATAGCAGCACTGTTTACAATAGCAAAGGCCTGGAATCAACCCAAATGCCCATTGATGATAGACTGGACAGGGAAAATGTGGCACATATACACCATGGAGTACTATGAAAAAAGATGAGTTCGTGTCCTTTTTAGGGACATGGATGAATCTGGAAGCCATCATTCTCAGCAAACTGACACAAGAACAGAACATCAAACACCACATGTTCTCACTCATAAGTTGTTGAACAATGAGAACACATGGACACAGGGAGGGGAGCATCACATATTGGGGTCTGTCAGAGGGAAATAGGGGAGGCACAGCACAGGGTGGGGAGTTGGGGAGAGATAGCATGGGGAGACATGCCAGATATAGGTGAAGGGGAGGAAGCCAGCAAATCACACTGCCATGTGTGTACCTGTGCAACCATCTTGCATGTTCTTCACATGTACCCCCAAACCTAAAATTCAATAAAAAAAATAAAATAAATAATAAAAATGAAATAAAGTATTCTCTGGAAAGATTAAGAAATAAATCTAGAAAAGATCAAGCAGAGAAGACACAAATAACACTAGAAAGATGGCATATAACCACATATAAGGAAGATATTAAAAAACTTTAAAAATACCTCAATTGATTTTTATTTATTTTTATTTTATTTTATTTTTTTGCCCATGAGAAGGAATCTTCTTCTGTTCTGACTACTGGAACTTGTGAGATAATAATTAACACTACAGCTTGTGCAGAGGGGAATGAAAGTTGAAGAACCAGGCAGAATTGTTTAGAATACGATAGTGTAAGAACATAAAGTAATGATAATTGTATCAAATGAACATTTTAACCGGGCCTTTTATCATCAGTATTATAAAGTTCCTATTGCATGACTAAAATACACACTGCTGGAGTAGAAAACTTTCAAAAGTAACCATCACTAGTGTGTACTCCCTTAGGTAACCTGGGATGTCTGGAGACAGATATTATAGGGAAAGGAATGGGTCCACTTCATAAAACTGTGTTTAGGTTTTTAGAGACGTCTCTTGAGTCTACAATATCAAGAAGAAGCAAGGAAGTCATGGGACAATCCACTTAAAATGACCCATAGTCAGCTACCCAATCTAGTATGCACAAGCTGTAGTGTTAATTATTATCTCACAAATTCCAGTAGTCAGAACAGAAGAAGATTCCTTCTCATGGGCTAAAATAAAATAAAAATAAATAAAAATCAATTGAGGTACTTAAAAAATGTTTCATATCTTCCTTATATGTGGTTATATTTGCTGAGGGAGGTCTTAACTTTTAGCAGATTAAAATACAAGCATAAAATGTGAGTTTTTCTCAGGTTTCCAAACCTGACTGTGGTGAAAAGAATATGAACTTTGAAGAAAAACAGCTCTGGATTCAAATCCTAGCTCTTTCTACTAATCAGTTCTGTAGTCTGAGACAAAGTAGCTAGTATCTGTATACTTAGATTTTCCAACTATGAAGTAGGAATAATATTGACTTCAAAGGGTTCTTTTGAAGATTAAAGGAAACATCATTTACAAAGTACTCATCATATGGTTCCTGCTGAACCCCCAACCCCCATTCTTCCTTTCGTAAATGCCATCTTTTAGTAATTTATCTTCTGGCCATTCACATTTCTTCTGTTTTGTCACTGGGATGCTATTCTTCCCTTCCTTTCAGTGACCCATGAGTCTACTCCACGACTTACTAACAATCAGAGAAATCCAAGCATCATTACTGAGTACCCTTGGGATGCATTGGAAAGATCCTCTTAAATCTAAAAATAACTTGGACCCTTTCTTACAAGGTGTAAATGGCAAAATCAGGCCTACTTCTTTATTTCCTTCCTGCCTGCTCCCCACTTTATTTTACTTGCCACATTTTTTGAGTTTCTATGAAGCTATGCATGAGTGACATTCCCCAACTCAATGATTCCTATTTAACAAGTGTGCATATGCTTGGACTGAAGTCCTTCGCTGGGGAAATACCCTAACCTTGAAACACTGTAGAATTTAATATTAGCATAAAGATCATATTAATAATAATTAGTAGAGTTAGTTTATTCTAAAAATTGGGAAAAAACTGCATTCCATTAAGAGACTAATGTTGATGTCTGCATTAATCACTAACAAAAATAAGAGATTTATCAGAATAGGCACAAGTTTTGCCTTTTAATAGCCTTTCCCCATCTAGCACCAGAGAACTCAGGAGTAGCAATAAGACCAGTTTAACAAAAGATTTTCTGCATCATTTATTCTAAAGTAGACTTTAAAAAACATTATTTTTATATTACATTATTGTTACATACAATGTCCACTTTGGTGTAGCTATGTCTATTCGGGCAAGACGAACAAGACAATGGAAAGTCAACTTAGCCAAGAGAAAAGAGTGAGGCTCTACTAATCATATTAGGTAATATCCCCCCTTAGCACCTCTTATCCTCTTTTATTGATCTGATTTTCATAGGGGAAAAAATAAATAGAATTAGTAATCGATGAGGATATTTGGAAGTAAAAACAGAAATTTGAGGCAGATTTTATTTACTTCTTTTTGGTTTGCTTTTACAAGGTTTACAGATTAACTCTTATTTCTTTTAAACCTTGTTATATTAGCACTGTTTATTTATTTTTTTGATGCCATAAAGATACTACTACTCTCCCAGAGTAGAACTCTTCATAACATTCAGTAGAATTTGAAGGGTATTTGAGGGGATTGTCATATGGTAATGGAGTTTACATGTTCTTACAGCAACTAGCTATGCACCTCTGGTGTACTAGCTAACTTCTTAACCATTTTTAAATGTCCAGTGTAGTGGCATTAAATACATTCATAACATTCTGCAGCTATTACCACCACGTCTTTCAATAATTCTTATAACCTTATAAAACTGAAATTCTATACTCATTAAATAACAACTCCCCATTCCTCCCTCCACACAGCCCCTGGAAACCACCTACTCTACTTTCTATCTCTACAATTTTAACTATTCTGTTTTATGTAAGTGTGGTTATACTGTATTTGTCTCTTTGTGGCTTGCTATTTCACTAGAAAACTGTCCTCAAAGTGTATCCATGTTGTAGCACAGGGGTCCCCAAGAGATCTAGATTGCAGACTCCTTATAAGACTCTAACTAATGCCTGAGGATCTGAGGTAGAACAGTTTAATCTGAAACCGTTCCTCCTTTCTCCATCTCCCTGTCTGTGGAAAAGTTGTCTTCCATGAAATGGGTTCCTTGTGCCACAAAGGTCAGGGACCATTGTTGTATAGCATGTGTCAAAATTTCCTTCCTTTTTCAGGCTAATCTTCTGTTATATGTATACCACATTTTGCTTGTCCATTCATCTACTGACGGGCATCATGCTGAACTCTTATGCTCAGTGATGTGTCAGTAAATGAATTGGTTGCCTGGAGTTAGAGGTTGTTCCAGGTACCTATATAACTGGACCATATCATGGTTAAACCCAGGATCTTGAATAAATTACTGGAATACATTTATCAATAAAGGAACAATCTTACTTTCCTTCTGGATGGTATAAGGAAAGCACCATTAATAATCTTATAGTTACCCCTTTTTTCCTCAGAATAAGTGGGCAAAATTATTTCTCTGTAAAATGGAAAATATTTTTTCCTTCACTGCTGTATTGTTACAAAGATGCATGTGATATCCCTCATTACTATCAATTATTTTGCTTTAGTTTTTCTCTGTCAAAATAAAATTTTATTTTCTTCATTAACCAGTCCTGTTAGGTTAAAATCATAGTTAAAATTGTAGAAAGAGAAGCAAAACAGGAAAGTGGTAGAGGCCGAAGCGTTTGAACTCTGTCAGCTCAAAAGAAGATGAATAATAATGATATAGATAATAATGATGATAATGACTCTCAGCTCTTAAACTACTATCACAAAATTTTCACAAAGAATCTCCTACAGCATGTTTGCAGGGTAGGAGCTTTTTATCTCATTTTGTAGACCAAGGATCACAGTGGTTGGAACCCTTATAAGGTAACACAACTTTATGAGTTGGATACCAAAGCCCATTGTTTTTGTTTGTTTTTTATCCTTTACTCTGTTAACTCACTCTAAATGATTTCTCCATGACTGCTCATATGTCACTTCTCCTGATATTTTTCTCGGAGCAGGTGGTTGTGTTGTGCTAGTTAAAAGAATAGATGTTGGAGCCAGACCTATCAGATTTAAATCCTAGCTTGACCACTTAACTGTATGAATGAAGACAACTTTCTTAAACTCTCCCCAGCCTCAATTTCCTTATCTGCCATGAAAGATTAAAAACAGTATTGAATTATTTTAATTAAGATACATAAGGCATGCAGAAGAGTAGCTGGCATTGAGTAAATGTCCTGTAAGTATTCACTACTATTGTTTTGAGAGTTTGAGATAATAATACATGTAAAGCAGTTAGGGCAGTATCTGGCCCCTAGAAAATGCTCAATGTGGCCAGGTGCAGTGGCTCATGCCTATAATCCCAGCACTTTGGGAGGCCGAAGCTGGTGGATCACCTGAGGTCAGGGGTTCAAGACCAGCCTGGCCAAAATGATGAAACCACATCTCTACTGAAAATACAAAAATCAGCCAAGTGTGATGGTGGGTGCATGTAATCTCAGCTACTCAGGAGGCTAAGGCAGCAGAATTGCTGGAACCCAGGAGGCAGAGGTTGTAGTGAGCCAAGATGGCATCATTGTACTCCAGCCCAGGCGACAACAGAAGATTTTGTCTAAAAAAAAAATGCTTAATGCATCCATCTTACTTTTAAATGTGTTTTATTTTTAGAATAAATAGTTTTAAAGTAGTTTTTCAGGAATACAATCAGTATCTTCTTCCTTCCCTTTCTCCCCTTCCCTTTATCACTCCTTCCTCCCCTTCTCCTTCCCTTTTGACTTTCCTACCTTCCCTTTTGTGACAGGTGACTATGATTTACTCAGCTGTGTGTGTGTGTATTTTTGAGATGGAGTTTTGCCTTGTCGCCCAGGCTGGAGTCAGTGGGCTCACTGCAACTCTGCCTCCCGGGTTCAAGTGATTCTCGTGCCTCAGCCTCCCAAGTAGCTGAGATTACAGGTGTTTTCTATGAACTATTTTTCAGGGAAATCCATTTATTTTTCTAATGTTCTATCCCAACAGAAAATATATTTTCTTCAATATCACATATTCAGAGAGCACAGCATTTCCTCATCTCATTAAAAGATGTTTACTAAAAGCCGTGGTTGATAAAAAAGAATCTTAAGGTTTTGAAAGTAGAAATTAGTTTAAAAAGAAAAAACATCCCCAATTTATGAGAAAGCGAGTGAGAGAGAGATGAATGATAATGACAGAACTCTATATTTGGACTACAGATTGAGGTGAAAGTGGCCACAATTTTGATGATTCAGCAATTTTACTTTGCATTTTGACATGTGATGGCATCTCTGCCGAGAACAAACTTACTTTGTCTGTCCTTACTGAGAGATTAATTGCTTCACTGAAGACTTTTGATTTAGCAACCATCTTCCTTAACTAGTTTTCTTGTCTTGAATCACTTGGAGTAAGACTCTTCAGCTATGATGAATAGCTGTGTAATGAAAAGGAGAGGAAGCCACCCCATCATTTTATATTTCACTGAATGAATTATCACTCACCTCCAGCAAAACGTCTTTCTCTCTTATGTATTATGAAAATTCACAGCTACCCTACAGTAGTGACATTTTGCTGTGGAGAATTTGGCATTTGTTGTGAAGGTATTATTTTAATTCCTGTCAAATTAAACTTTCAGGTCAGGGTTGCTATTAAGGATGAAAAGAGCAACCCAGAATGAAAATAAGAAAAGTAAGAAAATAAGGCAGCAAGACAATTCAGATGTCGAGATTAAACAACAGGAAAAGAGGCCCATGGAAACATAGTGGCAAAGGGAAATAAAATCATGGTCTCTCTTGGATAGTTCCGTTCCAGTCTTTATCTCATCTATAATCTGTACTTTAAATTTATATGATGACTTGGTGAAAGGAATTGGGGAGGTTATGGAAGCATCTCAGAGGCCACATAATAATCACCTAGGAAGTTTTTTCCCAGCTGGACTAGACTTTTTAAAACCAGGCAGCTCACAACATGCCATCATCTGTGTAAGTTAAAATACAATCATGCCACAACTAGCAGCAAAGTTTATATTAATTATCTGCTTTTTATTTTGTAAATAGTTGCCATATCTTTCTTCCAGGTGTTTTAAAAACAGCATAATTCATAATTTAAAACATAATTATTGCGACATAATTCATATACCGTATAATTCACTTATTCTTAGGATAAAATTTAGTAGTTTTAAGTACATTCACAGAGTTGTGCAACCATCATCATTATCTAATTCTGCAACATTTTCATGACCTCAGAAAGAAGCCCCACACTTGTTAGCAGGCACTTTCCATTTCTCTACCCCCATTGGCAACCCTAGGCAGCCATTAATCTACTTGCTGTCTCTACAGATTTGCCTATTCTGGACATACTCTATAAATTGAATCATACAATATGCTGCCTTTTGTGACTGTTTTCTTTTACTTAGCATAACATTTTCAAGCTTCATTCATTTTGTAACATGTATCAGTACTTCATTCCTTTTTATTGCTGAATAAGATTCTATTGTGTGGCTGTCCTACATTTTGTTTATCCATTTCATCAATTGATGGACATTTGGGTTGTTTTCTCTTTGGGGTGATTATGAGTAATGTGGCTACGAACATTTTGTGTGGACATGTTCCCACTGCTCTTAGATATATGAGAAATGGTAGTGGAATGACTGGATCATATAATAATTCTGTGTTTAACTTTTTGAGGCACTGCCAAGTTATTTTTCAAGGTGGTTGCACCATTTTACATTCCTACCCGTAATGTATAAAGTTCCAACTTCTTCACATCCTAACCACCACTTGTTATTGTTTGTGATTTTACCCATTCTGATGGGTGTGAAGTGGTACCTGATTGTGGTTTTGATTTATACTTTTCTAATTAATAATTATATTTAGCATCTTTCCATGTGTTCATAGGCCATTTGTACATCTTTGGAGAAATGTGTATTCCAATTATTTACCCATTTTTAAATTGGGTTGTTCGTCTTTTTATGTTGAGTTATAAGAGATTTTTAAATAAATTCTGGATACAAGTCCCTTGTCAGATATATTATTTGCAAAGCATTTCTCCCATCTTATGGTCTCTTTTCTCACATTCTTGATGGTGTCCTTTGAAACACACAAGTTGTTAATTTTGAAGTCTAACTTATCTCTTTTTACCTTTGGTCTCTTATTAATTTGGTGTTTATGTTAAACACTATTGCTTAACCCAGAATTATAATTATTTACCTCTAGTTTCCTCCTAGGGATTTTAGGGTTTTAGCTCTAACATTTAGATGTGTGATGCATTTTTCAGTTGGCTTGTGCATGGTGTCAGGTAGGCATCCAAATTCATTCTTTTGGATATGGATATCAAATTGTTCCAACACTGTTCATTGTAAACAGTATTCTTTCTCCATTGAATTGTCATAGTACCCTTACCAAAATCAATTGACCATAAATGTAGGGAATTATTTCTGTCTACTCAATTATAGTCCATAGATCTATATCTCTAGCCTTATCAGAGTACCACACTGGTTTGATTTCTATAGCTTAATTCTAATAAGTTGTGAAATTTGGAAGTGTTGGTCCTCCATTTTGTTCTTCTTTTTAAAGATTGTTTTGGCTATTCTTGATTTTTTGCATTTTCATGTAAATTTTAGGATCAGCTTGTCAATGTCTGTGAAAAAGGTAGCAGGAATTTTGATAGGCATTGCTATCCTTTAATACAGATTTAATTTATAGATTAATTGGAGGATTAATCTATAAATTAGGTTATAGATTGTATAGGTTAACACCTTAACAATATTAGGTGTTCTGATCCATGAACGTGGGAAGTCTTTCCATTTATTGGGACCTTCTTTATTATCTTTTTCAACAGTATTTTGTTGTTTTCAGTGTACAAGTCTTACATTTCTTTTGTTAAAAGTTTTTTTAAACCCAAAATGTAAATGAAGCTTAGTGATGTCCAGGAACTAGTCTTGGTCAACCCTGCCTCCCTCCTACCTAGCTTAGTTTCTGGGTTAGTGTCTTGAATTGTGGTTGGCAATTTTTGTGCTTATCAAAATGAGTTCAAAAAATATCTTTCAGAGGGGCGTGGTGGCTCACGCCTGTAATCCCAGCACTTTGGGGGGCCGAGGCAGGTGGATCATGAGGTCAAGAGATCGAGACCATCCTGGTCAACATGGTGAAACCCTGTCTCTACTAAACACACAAAAATTTAGCTGGGCATGGTGGCGTGTGCCTGTAATCCCAGCTACTCGGGAGGCTGAGGCAGGAGAATTGCCTGAACCCAGGAGGCGGAGGTTGCGGTGAGCCGAGATCGCGCCATTGCACTCCAGTCTGGGTAACAAGAGCGAAACTCCGTCTCAAAAAAAAAAAAAAAAAAAAAATCTTTTATATCTACAGAAAGTTGAAAGTATCATTTTCTCTTTATTACAGCATTCCATTAAGAAAACAGAACATGTGTTAACACCATTTAATAAGAATGGTAACTTATGGATAATCTATTAAGGCCAAGAAGGTTAACAGACATGGCCAAAGATATGCAGTCAATGTCAAATATAAAATTAGAGCACAATTCAACATTTCCCCCAGTGGTGCACTAATTCTAAAAGCCTTTAAGCCAAGAAAGACTTGAGACAGATAAGGGAAAAAAAAGGGGGGGTGGAACTAAGCTATTTTTATTGGCTCATATAAAAATGTATATTGTCATATCATCCACCATTTTTAGGGCAAAAAAAGGGGTTTCAGTTAGGAAATGTATTTTTTTCTTGAACTTCTAAATTAGCTAACTGTTTGAAAAGGAGACTTAAGAATGATCTCCAGGCCACGTATCAATGATATTGACATGAATATACCAGAATCTTGACTTAGTGAAAATTAAGGTCAGACTCCCAAAGATGAAGCTAATGGTGTAGCCAACTTTCTTAACTCACTTTTCCACTTGTGCTTCAAAGGTAGGAATCTCTTTAATGGGTTAACACTCCTAGGATGTGGTCTGTGCTTCAGGATTTAGATTGAACATCTAGTTAGGCAGGTGCTTAATAGAGAAACTCCTGAGGGGATGAAACAGGTGTTAAATTACCATGATTGAAAGGAGGGCAGGGTATGGGTATCTAGCATTTACTGAGAACACTTACCACCAAGAAAGACATTGTCAAAATGAGGCAATCTGGATGAAGAGGAGGGTGCCATACTGGCTAGATATTACTGCTTATGCAGCTTTCATTAACAGGGAGAAATGAGGCCTGTTGAGAATTTCTTGATGATGACAACAAGAGGTACAAGAATAGAGGTGCTTATTATCAAGGGTATCAGACATTGTACCTACAGGAACTGCTGTGGTTGACTGATACCTTTCAGGTCTGAACTGGGTAAATGATGATGACTGCCTGGACTCAAATGAAGAAATTTCCAATTATAAATGGTTAAAAAAGAAATAACTGAATGCTCCCAGAAGTGTTCCTTAAGGCAGCCAGGTTAAAACCTGTGGGAAACGTACGTGGAGGGGCTGAGGACTTCCAAAATGGGAGCAAAACAAAAAAATCTTTCAAATGAGGTGTGAGTTGAACGGATGTTAATTACATATTTATTTTCTTATCAGTTGTCTGAGAGTCAAAGCAACGACTTCATCATTAAATGATGAAGGCCTTGAAATAAACTCTTGGCACATGTGGAGGTAACATTTGTGGTTCCACTATACGCAAAGCATTCTAGAGGTCCATTAAATTTAAATTTGTAATTTTGCTGAGATACAAGTTTGATTTCTGAATTTGATGCGAGAGTTATCAAGTTGATTAGTTAGGAAGTCATCTACCTAGTGAGTAGGAAGTAATCTGAAACTAATTTTTCTTTTTCTTCCTTTTTTTTTTTTTTTTTAACGGAGCTTTGCTCTGTCACCAGGCTGGAGTGCAGTGGAGCGATCTCGGCTCACTGCAACCTCCGCTTCCAGGATTCAAGCGATTTCCCTGCCTCAGCCTCCCGAGTAACTGGGACTACGGCATGCACCACCATGCCCGGCTAATTTTTTGTATTTTAGTAGAGACAGGGTTTCACCATGATGGCCAGGGTGGTCTCAATCTCCAGACTTTGTGACCTACCCCGCCCCCCGTCGGCCTCCCAAAGTGCTGGGATTACCGGGGTGAGCCACCATGCCCGGCCTTTCCCTTTGTTTTGAATTTGCCAGCAGCTCTAGTAAAAATTAGCTAGGAGGTAACATGAATATTTACAGTTAAACAGTTCAATTACTTGAGCTTTATGTCACCTTAACACTGTCTCCCATTAACATTGATAATTCAGTGTATTTGAAGGAAATAGAGTGGTTTCACAATTTTATTTACAAATTGCTGAGAGGTGGAAAATAGTAGAAAGCAAGGCTTTTGTCATGAAGCTGCATTTCCATAGTAGGTATCCAAATTTAATTCAGGAGAAAATTAAATTTAAATTGGAAGGGCTTAATTTTTTTTATCTTAGTTTCAAGTAGGCGCATAGCTTCTTGAAAGGAATTAGATCATGTTGTTAAGAAAATTGAGACACAATTTTGAGGAATAAATTACCTAGGCATTTTTATCAAATAATTAGTGAGTAATGTTTGATCAATTCCAAGGTTGTGGCTTTTAATTTTCAAGGTGGAAGCTATCTTTCTGCAGTGGCTGTTTGAATGCCACACAATTTAGTGGAGGGTATGCTGAGAAGTCTCTTTGGGAGGTCTTTGGAGGCTGTAAGAGTGACAAGACAAATTTAAGTCCTTCTGAGGACTAAGAATATTTGAAGTTTCAGGAGAACAGACCCAGAATTGTTCTCATGGGATTTAGCAATAAAGGACTTGATTTTGAAGATCAGTTAACAAAAGTTGTGAATTTGGACCCATGGCAGGATCTGATAGTGACCCTGAAGCTGGAAGGAATCTTGGAATACAGCTTCTGCTCTTTGATGGTTATAAGCAGAGCAAGTACAGTACATCAACATTTAGTTCCTCCCTTTGGAGGCATTTGGCTGTCTTTCAGTTTAGAAGCTGCAGAGGCAAGCAGATACTATATTTTCCTTCTCCCTCATCAGTCCTTACTCCCCACAGGAAATTTAAAACATAAATTTGCATTTTATTTATTTATTTATTTTTAAATTTCTATTTGTTTTTAGATTCCAGGGTGCACGTGCAGATTTGCTACAAGGGTATATTGCATGGGGTTCAGATTTGGGCTTCTATTGATACCATGTTCACTCAGATACTGAACATGGTACCCAATAGGCAGTTTTTCAGCCTTTGTCCCCCTCCTTCTCTCCTGTTGGAGTCTCCAGTGCTTGTTTCTCATCTTTACGTCCATGTGAACCCAAGATTTTGTTCCCAGTTATAAGTGAGAACATGTGATATTTGGTTTTCTGTTTTCCCACAAACATTTGAGGGATAAACAAACTAAGAAATGGTAAGCCTGCCTTCTGATTTTGAAATCAGTAACAACAAAGGAAGGAGTAATTAAGAGATGGATCAATAGCTGAAACAGATCAGAGAGCAGATTCATCAGAGATGGATCAATAGCTGAAACAGGATGGAATTTCTGTTTACCTTTGAAAAATGTTCTATATTAAGACAAACATTTTTTAAAATTTAAACATTTTTTTCTTCTTTAGGTTTTCGTTCTTTATGCTGAAACGAGATAACAGCCTGAGGAAAGAGTCATGTTATATATCAATGGTAGTATACTTTATTTGCACCATTTTTTCTGGAGATTTTTCTTTTATACTGTCTTTTTTTTAAATTCAGTTAATGGCTTCACAGGTGGCCACCCATTCCCGGATATATCCCTCCTGCTGTGTGTGCTCCTTCCACAGGTCTGTGAAAAGCATGCTTTTCGTGATTCTCTTACTGTGATCTTTCAGGAAGGGGTAGAGCAAGATTTATTGGACATAGCAGATTTCAAGACAATTTTATCTATTATAACATTTTGAAGTTTTATACTAGACTGAAGCATATAAAAAAGCTGAGGCAATCTTGAGAGAGAACTATTAAATTTTCTAATCAACAACTAAATAAAAGTGAGAATGTGAATTCTTCATTATGGTCACTAAGAGGGAGAGGGAAGAAGGAAAAGAAAGGAGAAAAAAGAATATGGGACATCAAAAGACCAGAAGAGATGAAAACCGATCTTTCTTTTTCAGAATGAAAAGAGGAATAAGAATTTGCTTAGCTAGGGAGAGAGACAGGCTAGAGAATAAGAGATGGGAGTGAGTATTTAGTGGCAAATGAGCTCACGTGATACTCTGCTTTTCAACCATGCTGGTAAACATTACATTCTTATTTGAGCCCTCTTTATGCTTTGGGGTAGGGTTTAGACTTCCTGACCTTCTGCAAAGAGTGGCATGATTATCCTTACCCTCCCTGTAACCTACTAAAAAATCGCTTGCAGTCCTTTTGGTTGACTTGTGTCCACGAGGAAATACTCATTGTCTTTTGAAATGTAAGTCTTCAGTTATATCAAACAGTATTCCTGACTAGATGTGGAAATACCCTTCCCACTCCTATCTACTAAAGTCAATGTTTATATTCTCCAATTTTAGTATTTAACACATGTATGAAGGCTTGTGCTAGGTGTTACAGATTTACTTTCAACTTTATAGCTATGACATTATTTAATTTACATTTAATGCACAGATTACCAGATTGACTTGCTTTTGGTTTCAATAGATATTTAGATGTCTAGATTATCTGGATACAGCACCTCTTCAATGTGACGAATAAGACTGATGCTTGCAAAGGAGGCTTCTCACTTGTCTTGCATATCACAGGTGCTCAGTGGTTATTAGTTTTCTTCTTTAATAGTGAAGTTGATATTGAAAGATTTTTAGTAGTAAAATTGCAATCCAAGATTAAATGAGTTAGCTAAAGTTCCAGTTTGCTTTCTTAGTGCATTTCATGTTTGTATACAGAGGGAGCTTTGTTAAGATTCAACTAAAAATAAACATTTAAAGAATTTAGCAATACCAATAATTAATGTATCATATTTGCATCTATGGCTTAACATACTTTTAGTTTCTCCTGCTATTTTTGAAGTGTTCCCTTGGTATTGCTATCAAGTATTTTAGGAACAACACACAGTTGCTTATGATCTGAAGCCAAAACTTGCATCTTTGCAGCCTCATGGGATGCTCAGCAGTAGAACATATTATTTAGGGTAATTCTGGAAAGTTACAAAAATGCTACTATAGCTACAAATTGAGTCTCACTCATTGACTAATTTATCCAGGGGCATTTACTGAGCACTTACGTCCAGCTATGTTGGCTGTGGCATATAGAGGTGGCAAACACAGGCCAACTTCCTCCCTTCATGGAGCTTTTATTTTTGTGGTGGTAAATTAATTAGTTACTGAGTCTTGGCTTCCTTCAAAGCTGTTTTAGATCCCATCATTTTAAGGGATTCATTTGAAACAACAGTCATGTCACATGAAGAATGGCCAGGTAATGTTACCCTGACAGAGAGAGGTCTTGAAGGTTTGTCTTCATCTCTGTCTGGAAGGTTGTCATATTTACAGCTCCTAAGAACTTTGTGGGAAAAGTTCTTGTAACATATGCTGGCAAGAGGTTAAGCCAAGAGATTTCAAAGGATTTTTTCATACTAAGGAGCTGGTAACAAACCAAGGGAGGAAAAAAAAATCTCTCTTAAAACAACCTCAGAAAAACAGAAATCCCCTAAAAAAGTGCTGCCTGACTTGGTAAGTGTAGTGAGCTCTAATGAGCAGACAGGCATGGGTTATGTCTATCACACTATTGACCCTTGTTCATCCTTTATCATTTTGTACAAAGAAAGCCTGGAGACTAATGGAAAAACATTATGGAGCTTTTATTGATCTCTGCTTCTGACTGTGAACTGTAGCTAGAGACTTGTTAAGCTAAATGAGCTCAACTGAGACTCAGGCTGTCAACATTTGTGCAGAACCTGTACATTAGCTTCTGGGTCTGCAGATGTTGTCTTCTGATGAAGCATAAACATTGTACATGCACAATTCTGAATTGAACTTTCTGGTAGTTATATGAAAAGAGCCTGCTTTTAATTTTTAAAAATATTTGTAGCACTTTGTTGTTTTTATTTCAAAAGTAAACATGTTAGAATGTATTATTAAAAACTGTGTGTGTGTGTGTGTGTGTGTGTGTGTGTGTGTGTGTCTGTGTCTGTGTTTACTTAACATTTGGCAGCATGCTTCATTGTCAGTGAATGAAATGGTAATTTGCTGTTTTGTTAAGTGGGCAGGGTTAATTTCACTTTAGTGTCCCTTGTGGTTGGAGATACTGAAGCAGAGTCTTGGTAGGGATTAATATTATGGAGCAGTGGTTCCTAACATGTGGGCCCCAGGCTAGCAGGACTAGCCTCACCTGGGAACTTGATTGAACTCCTCCTGATCCAGGTGGTTCTGATGCATGCTGAAGTTTGAGACCCCTGTGATAGGAACATGAGCCTAAAATCAGTAATTCTCTAGGAGGTAAGAAGATGGAGAGTGTCAGCAGCACCTGGGTTTCTTCTTTTCACAAACTCACAGTCTCTTTCCTCCACTCTGCTCCTCCTTCTACTCCCATTATTGCATGGTAGCCATTCCTCTGGGACTCTGACACAGCCCTTGGGGGTGTTGGGGTAAATGACTGCAGTAAATGAGTGACATTTTAAAGCTGATCCATCATCACGGAATTATGTCTTGACCTTGTGACATTCTTAGGATACTTGTTAATAAAGATTTGTACATTTTGCTTGTCTTTTCATCTATTCTGGGTATACTGATGATCTCTTAGGAGTTAGACAGAAGTAAAAGAAGTGCATTGTTTTACAATCTAGTAAGAGCCTCAGGTTGCAGATCTTTCCTAGGAAATTTGAAAATGCTTTTACTCTTTTATGAAATAAAAGTTAGTTTTATTGTATAATGCTCTGCAGTTTGGGTTTATCTGAAGTAAGCCACCCATTCACTGGCGTTGAGAAAAGACTGTGGAATGCTTGTCATGGTCACATGTCTTTTGAATCCAGGTTCACTGAACATATATCCTGTCTCTGCTAAACTGTATACATGATCTTGGGAACTTCCTTTACATTTCTTGGTCAGTTTCTTCATTTGCAAAATCAGGCTAGCAATAATGACTACTTCTTAGCTGTTTAAAGCATTAGGGAGTTATTGAATGTTAAGTGTCTGACTCTTGCTCAGGACTCAATAACTGTTAGATATTACTATTAGTGACTGCTGTGCAATGAGATAAAATTACCTACAACTGTGAGGATAACGAATTAAAACAATAATCAAGACTGAAAAACACATATTTATTGTGTACTTTATAAAAACATTCTGTCAAGATAGAATAAAGCTATGAGGTCAGACAGATACAGGTTTGGAAATTCGGTGTCATATGGCAGGTAACTTAGCTGTTCCTGAGCCTTGGTTTTATCTTCAAAATGGAGATAATTCTGCTTTGGAGGGCTGTTGTGAGCAGAAACAAGAATATTTGGAAGGGGCTGGTGTACTCAATACAAATGGCTATTATACTTTTTATTGCTACTTGCTTTTCTTGAACTAAATTTTAAATAGCAACTCCTCTTTTTTATGGAAATCTAGGGAGTCTGATTTAGAGGAAGTGAGTACATGCTGTAGAATGGCCCATATGCCATTTTGCTATTAGAATATGAGTCATTATTTCTAAACTTAGTATTGCTTTATTTGTATGTTCCTTGCTTTTCTCAGAATCCCTAAGTCAGATCCAAGCATAAACTTTGGATCATAAAAGAAAGCAACTTCAATTAAGTGGATTTTTTGGAGTCACTGCAAGTTACTCATATGAGGCTGTCTGACCAAGCAGTGATGTAAAGAGGACTAATAGTATTTCAGTGAGCAGCTCTGGCATTTTTATGTTTGTACAGAGTGCTTCTCCTTACCAAAGTTTTAAATTTGTATTATCTTTTGTATTGAGGTACAATTTACATATGGTGAAATATGTAGATCTTAATTGTGCATTCCCTCAGTCCTGACAGATACATACACTTCTATTAAGATACAGAATATTTCCAGAAAGTGTCCTCATCTCCCTTCTCAGTCAATCCTTTCTCTTCTCCCATGCAACCACTATTCTGATTCCTATTGCCTTTGGCCAGCTTTTCTTGCTATGGAACTTCGCATAAATGGAATCCTGCAGCCTATTGTGTCTGTACTTTTTTCCTTACCATGATGCTTTTGAGATTCAGCTGTATTATTATATGCATCAGTAATTTGTTTATTGTTGCTGGTGAGTAGTATTCCATTGTATGGGTATACCACAGTTTGTTTATTCATTGTCAGATTAAGAGACATTTGGGAAATTTCTGTTACTTCTTTTGATCATTATTGTAATGTTGTTGGATGATCAGAAGATCTGTCTTATTCTGTAGATTAGGAAGCTGGGATTCAGAGAACAGAGGCAACTCAAGGTAAATGGGGAACTTGAGAAGAGAACCTGATTTCTGGGTCCAGATCCTCTGCTTCCTTTACTTTCTATTTTCTGAGCCTAGGTTATTTTTGGCCCTGACCAGGAGTTCTGCCCTCTCTGACACCAGGATTTGACCTGACCTGTCTTATATTTGATGGAGAAAGACCTAGAATATCAAAATTTAGGAATGTAGCCCTAATCTGGGGTAACCCTTGCCTAAGCCTTAGTTTTTCAGGTGCAGTGAATAGACTTCTGAGGTTGGCTCAAAAGTTGAACAAATAGAGGATCTGGATGACACTGGTTTAGATTATAGAATGCCTGAAGATATTCTAGGAGAACTTCATCTTTCATAGTGGCAAAGGGGAAATAGGATGAACATGGAATAAGATAAGCCTCTCTTAAATCCTAGCTCTGCCACCCATTAGTTGTGTGAGGTTGGGTAACTCAACCTCTCTGGGTCTCTTTCTCCGTCTGTAGAAGAGGTAGTACAATGCTTCCCTCTCAAGTCTTGGCAAGGAAGTTCCTGACACAACTTGTCCTTTCTGTGCTCGATCAAGGTTGGAATTAAGGGAGCATTATAATATGATGATATTGATATTGCTGTGGGATTTTCATTGTATGGAAGAACTAATTCTTCCATTTATCTTTGAAGGCAATTCATTATTTATAGAATCTGAATAAAAATAGAAAAGTTAATTTGTCAATAAAGTCCTCATAAAAATAAAGCAAGGGAGGGGCAAAGAGGAATGTGTTTACTTTAAGATATCTGGAAAAATGAATATAGGTAAATAGGTCCTTTGAAGACACTCTCTTCCTTCTCAGGAAAAAAGCAAACATATTTAGAAGGTTACTCCTTGTTCAGGATGCTGATTAGGCTGCGTGGTTAAATAAGGTCTGTAGGAGAACCAAAAGGAAAAAGGGTCTTAAAGGAACCCCATTCCTGGCCTATTATGGATTTAATGAGGTCTCTGGGTCACAGTTTCTCCATCTGTAATCCTTAAATAGCACTTTTTAATCACATATCTCAGGATTTGATGTGGTGTTCAATTTTCTCATAATATATATATTTGTAAATATTTTGCATATAAAGAAGAATAGCATTTATGTGTATTTTATGTAATTTAAAGCAAAGTATGCTGTCCAAGAAAACCTTTATGAGAAGATTGACATGTGAATGACTTAACAGCAGAATACATGAAATGCTTGTCGTAACAAAGATTGGCAGGAGTCTTAGAAGAACCTAGAGTTGGATGATTAGCTTGGTTCATAAAAGCTTCTAAAGGAAATTTCAAAGACTTAATGACGTCACTGAGCTTTTCCAACCAATACTGAGAGAGGCTGGTATGAAATGATTCAAGGAGTATTTACTGCTCTGCAAAACAGCTTTGCCTTTAATGTTTCCCAAGAAAAGGACATACTTGTAAAGACTTAATGCTTGTCTTAGAGAGGAAAAATGATTTCAACAGTCAGGACATCAGAGTGGGGGAAAGTATTCATGCAGGAAACTGAATGATATACTTTATTTGTGAATTTTCATAATTGGCATTGAAACACCGATACTTTGCTGGCTCAGCTTTTTAATGTATCAGATCCTTTGTGTGTAGGAGGAAAGAAGAATAAATGTGTCTCTGAATGGGAGGTGCTCTCTTTTAATTAAGAAACTTGAGAGAAAAGAGATGACAATAGGCAAAGATGAAATAAGTTAAAAGAAGTAGGCAGAAAATAGAGAAAACTGCATCTCATGCGGTTGACATTTATGTGGCAATTACTTAATTTGGACTTCTTGTTGGAGAACTTTTTTTATCAGAATTTATTTTGTGTATCACTCATAAGTACTGCATAATTTCCATATTTATTTATACTATGGGTCAGCCTCTCCTTCCAGACATAAAGAAGGACACTTTGAATTTCAGGTGACAATGGAGCATGCAATCATAGCAACCATAGGATAAAAGTATGATTATTATTTTTATTTTCCCTGTGTTACAGGTGTGGAAACTGAAGGCAAGAAGTTGCCAAGTTTAGACAATTAGTAAGTAACATATGCCAAAGCTACGGTTATATGCTATACACTATATTGAGCTTCTTGATGGTAGAATCTCCATCTCATACTTTTTTGATACTCACTCAGTGTCTGTAATAGAATGGTTGTTGAATAATCTACAGAATCTAAACATTTTTAAAGGGTCTTTTGCAAAACTGCTAGTATTCTTACATCCTTTCCCCTCCTCCACCCCCATGTACATCATCAAGAGATGGAGATTACTAAGGAAAAATTTGGACTTCCTTTTTGGACATGTTAACTTTGACATTCAAATGTGGATGTTAGTTCAATAATTATATTTATGAAGCCAGAGCTCAGGAGATAAATCAGAGCTGGAGAAATAAATATGGTTGTCATCAATGAATAGAAGCATTTAAAATCATGACTGAGATGAGCACTGTGACTGGGTGGCATATGAGTGGGAGAGGGGAAGCTGGAAATGTGAAGAGGGCTGAACACTTAGCCCTGGGCCGCTATCATTAGCAGCTAAGCAGAGAAGAAAAAAAGTGGGTTGGAAATGGAAAACTAGAGTGAAAAGTCGTTGGCGCTAATAGAATAAGGTGATTTGGGCAGATGAGTGTGGGTAGCTGGGTCAAAATGGTTTCAGAGGTCAGGTTAGATGAGGACAAAGCATTGACTGCTTGGTTTGGTAAGAGTTGATTCATGGGTATGGTGGGGATGAGAGAGGAGCAGAGTGGGTTGGAGAGGGTACAGAGGTGAAGATTAGTCAATTCCTTAGAGTTTTGCTATAAAGGGGAGATGAAGGGTTGGACAAAAGCTGAATGGGGACATGGGGTCAAGAAAGAGTTGTCTTCTTTAAAAATAGATGACATTAAGGCATATTTATGCTCAAGGGAATAATCTGGTGGTGCAGAAGAAACTAAAGATGCAGGAAAGGGACGGGAGAATTGTTGGAATGTTGTCTTTTCGGAGGCAAAGACGCGAGCAGAGCAGGACTTCAGTGTCAGTGGAGAGGGTCCATTGGAGAAGGGACGCTTCTTCCCTTGGTCCAGGAGAGAAGGCAAGATATGTGATGCTGATGAGAAATATTCCTTCCTTACATTCATATTACTAAATTTGCAAGAGTTGATGGATTTTGCATATTACAATTGATATACATTTCTTCCTCTGAATAAATACATATGTACAGTGAAAATATTCAGTCTGAAAGTGCATATAATAATTAGGTAAAATTTAATAGTTTTATGATCAGACCAACATTTTAGGTTGACCTTTAAACAGCTTTCTCTTTCTATGGCTGCTATCTGAGGTTAAAGGAAGAAATTTGCTATAAAAATTAATGTAACAAAATCTTTACTAAAATGGCAAAATGTGAAAAATTTTAAATCAGGCATTATATCTGTTTTTACTTAAAGAAATTAAATCTTTATAGGTATTATAGAAATAATGGTGGCTATAAACAATTGTAGCTTCTGTGAACTGAAAGCCTATCATGTTCCCAGTACTTTTCAAACATTCGTGCTGATCCTCACAGCAAAACAAACAGAGTAGTTTTATTACAGTTTGACAAGTGAGAAAACTGGCAGTGAGGTTCTGCAAGGTTTAATGATTTGCTCAAAGTCACCCAGCTGGTAAGGTGATTTTTTGTTTGTTTTTGAGACGGAGTTTCGTTCTTGTTACCCAGGCTGGAGTGCAATGGCGCAATCTCGGCTCACCGCAACCTCTGCCTCCTGGGTTCAGGCAATTCTCCTGCCTCAGCCTCCTGAGTAGCTGGGATTACAGGCACATGCCACCATGCCCAGCTAATTTTTTGTATTTTTAGTAGGACGGGGTTTCACCATGTTGACCAGGATGATCTCGATCTGTTGACCTCGTGATCCACCTGCTTCGGCCTCCCAAAGTGCTGATGTTTAAATTAAAACTTATTCTAGATCCAGAATTGCTTTTCCAAATGCACTATCCTGATATATAAATGTTGTGATGTAAATAATGTCCCTATTTAATGTGTGAAAAATTTTTTGCTCAAAAAGGTGAAGTTGCTCAAATATGTATAGAATTGTATTTATTTGCACAAAATACTCATTTTTTTCTGGTCTAGTGTAAATTCAGCTAAAAGGAAAGAAGGAGGGAAAGAGAGAAGAAAGGAGGGAAGGAGAAGAGGGAGGCTAAGACAGTGTCATTTGTCTGATTTATAGGGATAGCAAAGTCAGTGACTACTGGTGTGTCTTTTCACCCTATTACATATGCAAAGGGTGACCATGTATTTTCTATTTCTAGTCTGACTTGATTTTTAAGTTAATTTGATCATTGTGATTTCACAACATTTGCGGGATCTTTATATTTTAAAATGTGGTCAAAACTTATATGTTTTCTGTGTTCTGTCAACTAGTGAGATGAGTATTTGTTGAGCTGTGTTTCTGCTTCTCTGCCTCAGGGCCTGTGTATCAGTTCATTCTCATGCTGCTACAAAGAATTGCCTGAGACTGGGTAATTTATGAAAAAAAAAAAAAAAAAGGAAGTTTAAGTGACTCACAGTTCTGCATGGCTGTGGAGTCCTCAGGAAACTTACAATCATGGTGGAAGAGGAAGCAAAAACATCCTTCTTCACATGGTAGCAGGACAGAGATGTGCAGAACAGAGCCAGTAAAGCCCCTTATAAAACTATCAGATCTTGTGGAAACTCACTCACTATCATGAGAACAGCATGGGGAACCCCCCTATTCTGCGATCTAATCTCCTCCCATGAGGTCTCTCCCCCAATATGTGGGGATTACAATTTGTATTACAATTCAAGATGAGATTTGGAGTGGGAGCACAGCCTAAGCATATCAGCCTGAGTGCTTCCCACCCCACTACCTTGGTTATAAAAGGTCAACCTCCTCACCTGGTCATTGGCAGCTGAGAGCTCAGTCACATTTCACACCAGAAGCCTCCTGTCTGGACTTCGTCTTCCACAGCTCTTTTCTGCTGGATGTCCACCATACTTCCTGGCTGTGTAGCACTCACGGACCTTCTTGGCTATGTTTGGAGACTTTTCAGTTTATGGGTCCCACATTTGCAAGGCAGAATTCAGAAAACTTTCTTCCGCTTTCTTTACAGCTACTCACTCTGTCTCACGACAGCTGGATCAGAAGTGGGCAACTGAAGGAGTCTGGATCCAGGAGGAGTTCAAGTTGCTAGAAAGGGTGGTGACCAAGACTCCCTATTCTTAGGGGTGGCAGTGATTGCAGTGTAAGGCTCCTGGCACAGAAATGGCTTTGAGGGTATGGTGGTGGCAGTGGGGGTAATTCCCTTTTCAGGCCAGTTCTGTGGCGTAGTTTTTCTGTGAGTGTTTTTCCTAGCAGTTCAGTCTTGAACCTGCTGTTCCCACTCTTCTAATAATTTTGTGAGTGATCTAATGTCCTGAAAAACTGTTGTATCCAAAGAAGACCATCACCAGAGGTACCCCTCCAATCTTTCTTCTACAATGAAGCGAGAACAGCCTCTTAGGAACATAAGTCTGACCCTGTGCCACCTAACAACCACAATTTATTGTCTTAACACTGTTCTCAGAATATCGCATTTTATAGAACAGAGCGTTCTATCTTTTGAAACGCAGTTATTTTGTGAACTACCAGGAAAGAAAATGCTGCTAAATCGCATCTTTGATTGTAGCAGGTACCCTGATTTCAGAGTTGTTGAAATGAGGTGGTGGGGGGGAGTGTCTTAGAGTTGGGAAATGTAGTGACATCTCCAATCTTTGATGTGGCCTTCTAAAGCTGGTAATTGATGTGAGTGGCTCCTCCCTCTTCTCTTGTGCCCTTTTACTCTTTGCCCTTTCACTAACTCTCACAAGGGTCTTTTCTCCCTCCCTGGAAATGTTATGCTTTCTTACCTGTGCTCTCTGTTTCTCTTGCCCACTTCTTAAGATAATTACTATTCATTTTTAATGCCTTAGCTTAAATGTCGTTTCCTTAGAGAAGTCCTCCCCAAAGCCTCGCTTTCTTCATTCCTCTAATATTAGTACAGTACTTAGTATTTGTTGAGCACTTACTATGTGCTACACTCAGTGCTAAGCACATTATGTATATTGCCTCATTTAATCCTCACTACAAACTTGTGAGATAGATGCTTCATAAGAGAAAACTGAAGCTTAGAACTGTGCAGTTACCTGCCCAACATTTCACAACCAGAAAACAAGGAGCACAAGCCAAGATGCACCCATGTCGGGCTTGTCATGCTGCTGGCTACCTCTCTATTTACTCACATGTGATAAGCAAGTCTGTGATGTAATCTCAGATTGTGCAATTGAAATTATTTATCTATTTGTATAAAACAATGATCTGCTAAGGATGTTAAATTCCATAAGACAGTGACAGTAGATCTTGACCACTCTGGCACATATTAAGTGCTCAAGTTAATCTTTATTTTTTAAAGTTTAATTGTGGAAATTTAAAAATGTATGTAAAACTAAAAATAACAGTATCACAAGCCCTCACATCTTATGTTCCAGCTTTACCAAATATCAATTCCTGGCCAATCTTGTTTCATCTCTGTCCCCACCTCCTCTCCCTTGCTACTAGATTTTTTTGAAGCAAATCCAAAAGATCATATTATGTCACCCATTAGTATTTCTAAAAGGTAAAGATTATGTTTAGGGATATAACTTTAATACAATTACCACATATTTAAAAATTAACAATAATTCTTTGGTCCATATTCCAATCAGCCCAAATATTTCATGAATAACTTTTAAAATCAGCTCACTCCAATCCAAGCAAAGGCTGCACATTGTAGCTGGTTGAATAGTTTCTGAAATCTCTCTAATTTATAGTTTCTGCAGCCTTGTTTTTCCACCATCTTGCAATTCATTTGTTATTTGTCCTGTAGACTTTTCAGACTCTGGATTTTGCTGATTATATCATGGTGCTTTTGGTTTAACATGTTTCTTTGACATGGTGTTTCTTGAAAATTGTTGATACTTTATCTAATTCAGCAGTATGAAAGCAGGCCCATATACCATACAGCTCAGTATTTTAAAGTTATAAAGCTCTGTTCAGACACATGACCATTCCCAGAGCTGAAAGAGTCATGTGCTCCTGGGGAAGAATTAATGCCCCAGTGGTCATGGTCACCAAGATCTGCTGGGGAACAACAGGGTAAAGTCAGGGACTAGTTTCTGACAAAACGGACTTTAAACTAACAAAGATAAAAAAAGACAAGGGCATTACATAATGGTAAAGGGAACAATTCAACAAGAAGAGCTAACTATCTTAAACATATATGCACCCAATACAGGAGAGCCCAGATTATGAAAAAAGTTCCTAGAGGCCTACAAAGAGACTTAGACTCCCACACAGTAATAGTGGGAGAATTTAACACTCCACTCTCAATGTTAGACAGATCATTGAGACAATTAACAAGCATATTCAGGACTTGAACTCAGCTTTTGATCAAGTAGATAGATATGATAGATATCTACAGAACTCTCCACCCAAAAACAAGAGAATGTACATTCTCCTCAGTGCCGCATGGCATTTACTCTAAAATCAATCATACAAATGGAAGTAAAACACTCCTCAGCAAATGCAAAATAACTTAAATAATAATTAACAGTATCTCAGACCACAGCACAGTCAAATTAGAACTCAAGATTAAGAAATTCACTCAAAAGCACACAACTTGCTCCTGAATGACTCTTTTGGGAAATAATGAAATTAAGGGAGAAACCAAATAAATATTTGAAATGAATGAAAACAAAGAGACAATGTACCAGAATTTCTGGGATGCAGCTAACACATTGTTAAGAGAGAAATTCATAGCACAAACCTCCTCATCAAAAAGCTAGAAAGATCTCAAATCAACTAAACACCTCCAAACACAAATAAACACTAACATCATGACTAAAAGAACTGGAAAACCAAGAGCAAACAAACCCCAAAGCTAGCAAAAGACAAAAAATAACCAAAATCAGAATGGAACTGAATGAGATAAAAACAAAAAAGTCTTCAAAAAATAAATAAACCCAGGAGCTGTCTTTTTGAAAAAAAATTAATAAAATAGACCACTAGCTAGAATAATAAAGAAGAAAAGAAAGAAGAGTCAAATAGACACGATAGAAAATGATAAAGTGGGGGAGAAGGATCCAAGATGGCCGAATGGGAACATCTCCAGAGTGCAGTTCCCAGTAAGAACAACACAGAGGGTGAGTGCCCACCACATTTCAAAACAAATTTTCACTGCCCACAGACCAGGAGAATCCCAGGCCAAAAAGCACCAGGAGTTTTCAGCATGGTGGTTTTAGCCAGTGCTGGGTTGGCACACAGAAACTCATACAAATCTGAGAGGCCATTTCAACTGGTGCCTGGAATGCCTGGGAGACAGAGATGCCCATTCAACTGAAAGGGAGGGGGCAGAGGCAGGGAGCCAGGTGACCTGATTCAGTGGGTAACACCCCCACAAAACAAGCAGTCTGAAATGGTCTGGATTGAGAGTTTTGCAGCAAGTGCAGCTGAACCCAGGAAAGTCCAGCCCAGTGGAGGGAAGGGCAACCACCACTACTGAGGCAGTCTGCCACTACCAAGGCAGTTCACACAGCAGCTGGGCAGAGCCTGTAGCAGCTCAGCAATGCCCCTGCTGGCAGACTGTGACTACTCAGTGTGGGGCAGGGCATCTGTGAAAAAAGGCAGCAGCACAACAGGAACTTATAAACAAAACTGACCTTTCTAGGACAGAGCACCTGGGAAAAGAGGCGGTTATGAGTTCTGCTGCAGCAGACTTAAAAGTACCTGCCCCACAGCGCTGCATGGAACAGCAGAGCTCCCAGCACAGCACTTGAGCTCTTATAAGGGACAGATTTGTCACCTCAAGCATCCCCCAACACCTATATTCCCAAAGAGACACCTCATAAAGGAGAGCTCAGGCCAACATCTGGCAGGTACCCTTCTAGGATGAAGATAACAGAAGAAGAAACTGGCAGCAACACTTACAGTTCTGCAGCCCTTGCGGGTGATCCCCAGGCAAGCAGGCCTGGAGTGGACCTCCAGCAGTCCTGCAGCAGAGGGGCCTGTTTGAAAGAAAACTAAGAAACAGAAAGAAATAACTTCATTATCAACAAAAAGGACGTCCACTCAGAGACACCATCCGAAAGTCACCAACTACAATGACCACAGATAAATAAAGCCACTAAGATGGGAAGAAACCAGCGCATAAAGGACAAAAATGCCAAAAACCAGAATGCCTCTCCTACTCCAAAGGATCAAACTCCTCACCAGCTAGGAATCAAAGATAGATGGAGAATGAATCTGATGAATTTACAGAAACAGGCTTCAGAAGGTGGGTTGTAAACTTCTCAGAGCTAAACAAACATGTGCTAACCCAATGCAAAGAAACTAAGAACCTAGAAAAAAGGTCAGATGAGATGCTAACTAAAATAAACAGCTTAGGGAAGAATATAAATGATTTGATGGAATTGAAAAACTCAGCACGAGAACTTTGAGAAGCATACACAAGTTTCAACAGCCGAATTGACCAAGCAGAAGAAAGGATATCAGAGATTGAAGATCAACTCAGTGAAATAAAATGAGAAGGCAAGAATAGAGAAAAAAGAGTGAAAAGAAAGGAACAAAGCCTCCAAGAAATATGGGGTTATGTGAAAATACCTAATCTACATTTGAAAGGTGTACCTGAATGTTACAGAGAGGATGAATCCAAGCTGGAAAACACTCTTCAGGATATTATCCAGGAGAACTTCACCAACCTAGCAAACCAGGCCACCATTTAAGTTCCGGAAATACAGAGAACACTACAAAGATATTCCTCAAGAAGAGGAACCCAAGGCACATAATTGTTAGATTCACCAGGGTTGAAATGAAGGAAAACGTGCTAAGGGCAGCAGAGGTTGCAGTGAGCTGAGATCGTGCCACTGCACTCCAGCCTGGGTGACAGAGTGAGATTCCATCTCAAAAACAACAAAAACAAAAACAAAATAGAATGCAACACAAAGCTAAATATAATTTAATTTCTGTGAATTAATATGAAAAACATATGTAAACAAAATAAAAATATCCATTTGTGAGAACATGAACAGATAACATAATAAATATGTTAGAATGACTGCCTAGTGACCAGAGAAAGGGGAGAAAGTGGAGTATGAGAATAAAAGAGATACCAATCAATCAACTAAGAAAGGGAGCTGGGTCAGCTCCCTTAGGCTTTTGAAGAGATAGCAGTAAGTTGCCAAGGCAGCAGAAAAAGATGTGGAAAATCTTGGGTTGCCTCCATTTCTCAGTATTCCCTTATCATCACATCTTATAATGCCTAACTCATCTATTCTCCATGAAAGCTGGCCCACAAAAATGTAATTAGTTAGAAGCAATCTTCTGATAGTACTTCATTTCCTGCCCAATTTCATGTGAAAATATCTTTTCCCCTGCATCTGGAGCTTTGATGCTTTCCCGATATTCTGGCCAAACCTGACAATTCTTTGGTGATCTAAATGCTGATATAGAGTTGATAACATTATTTCTTATTACAAAGAAATTATGGAAAGCAAGCTCACATTTATATTGACAGTGAAGAAATCCCTTGTTTTGTACAGGGTCTATCTTCATACTTGTATATATGTGGAGCTGCTTTCTGAGAGTGAGGATGGAATGTCTGTCCTTAACATTCATTCTGGAATTGGAGTTCCAGCGCTACTGAAGTTATAGGAAGTAGAGCTAAATTACACTAAATGGAAAAATAGCACAAATAATGAGAAGAAGGAGCATAAGAGATTTAGTCAGGAGGTGAATTGTTTAATGAAAATCGCCCTTTCTGTAATTTATAATAATGGGAGTTTAACAGACAATTTCTGTCTCAAGACAATAATTAGAATATTTTATTTTACAGGCTTCAAAATTTAAAGGAGGTGTCAAAATGGAGGGTAGGGAAAAGGTAAGCCATGTTAACAATATTTAGTATGATTTATGGGTGTTTTAAAAATTTTCTGTTATAGTAACTAATTAGGTATTTTAGATATAAGAGTTCCAGATACTTTTCTTGACTTATCTTGATTTATATGATTAATTCTTCAGATTCACTAGGATTGCAGTTTCTTTACCAGTAAAGAAAGAAACTAAAATATAAAAACTTTCCAAGATCTTGGAATTCATATTGCAAGATCTTTGAAGAGTAATAGTTATTCTCTTCCAGTATTGCCTTCAGGGTCGTCACGACCTCCTTGGGAAAAGACTTCATGTGGATATTGCAAGCTTGATTATCATCAGTTTCTATGCTAAAATATCTTGAAAATCTTTAGATCTTAGAAAGATCTTTTTTCATTCAAGTTTAAATAAGTTGATTTATAAATTTGAAATTTGAGAAGTTGGAATGAGAATGGGAAAAGTAGAAACTCATGGTATAATGATAAGAAAATATCAACAGTACTTGAAAAATGTCTTGCCCTCTCCCTGTGGGTCATTGTAAACCATTTTTAACTCTATCCAAAATAAGAATGTTCAATAACATGATAAGCTCTCAGGAAGATTGTGAAAATACCAAAGCGAAACCTCTAGATTGAAGTAAAATGACTATTGATTTGAATAATGTTATGTTTACTCTTTTGAACCTATCATCTTTATTATTTAAAAGTTATACAGTGTGAGCCAGATTTTTCTCATTTCAGTTTAAAAGATCCAAGACATTCTTATGTCCAGATTCATCTATGGTTACTATGGAGACGCCTCACTTTGTGTGAGGATTTACCTTGTCATTGCAAAAGAAAATGAATTTGGGCTATTGAGTGCTTTGCAGACTCTCTGAGGTGGAGGGTTGGGCAAATATCAAAAGTTGCTGTCATTTTAGTTGAGACTCAGTGATTCATGGACAGTGGGTCAGGGAGTGGGGGTTGGTTATGTTCTGCATATGATGGTGCCCATCTTCACAATTGTATTAACCTTGTACACACCACTGTTGCTACTCTACAGCCATTCTAGTCATGTCTTTTTCTTTGATTTCAGAGAGCTTTTGAGTTTATAACCTGTGGCCAGTAGGCTTAGAATTATAAAACCCATGTCAGTCCACTGAAAGTAAATGTAGGGAAAATGAAAATGAATTTAAAAATGTATTGGTGCCCAGAAAATCTAAGTTTTGGATCTCACTGAGTGGTCCTGAACTGTTCCTTTAATCCTAAGGCATATGAGGCATTAGATTGGACTGGATACATCAGGGTTCCCAAACATTTCTCTGAAGTGCATCCAAGAGTTGGTATATTTATCTTCTTATCTCTTCTCCCCAAGTCCATTTCATAAGCTCCCAAACACCCAAGAACTAAATTTATTTTTATTCCCCTATTTAAAATGAAAAATCAGAATAAAATTTACATTCTACTGCATGATATATTGGTATGTTTTGATATAAACTACTTCAAATGAATAATTTATCTTAAACGTTCCAGTAAAATAGATGCACCAGAATAACACGTCCTGTTACCTGTGGCTCTGAGTACAGTACAACATACTGCCTTATATGCCCAGTGGCGCACAAAATTCCATCTGAGGAACAGCCAAAAATTATACTTTAGCAGAGCTGTGAACAGACGATTGCCTCTGGTCCCACCATTTCAGGTGATGCCTGAAATCCCACCATTTGAAATGATATTCTTTAATCTCTGTGTTCTCCTTGACAATGCAGCTAGAAAAGGGTGTGTGATAAATTATTAATGCCTTAGCAGTGGCTAGTGATAGCTCAAAGACAACATACATTTATAGTAATAATAGTTACTGGTATGGTTTGAATGTTTTCCCCTCCAAAATTCATGTTGAAATTTAATCTCCAATTTATCACTATTGAGAGAAAGGAAACAATTAAAGGCCCTTCATTAGAGGACCTTTAAGAAGTGATTGGGACATGAGGGCTCTGGATTAATTCACTTATGGATTAATGGGTTAATGGATTAATGAATTAATGGACTATCATGGGAATAATGGGCTATGATGGGGGAGAGAGAGAGAGGAGAGAGGGAGGGGGGAGAGGGAGGGGGGAGAGAGGGAGGTGAGGGGGAGAGAGAGAGAGAGAGGAGAGAGAGGAGAGAGGAGAGAGAGAGAGGAGAGAGAGAGAGAGAGAGAGAATCCTTATAGGGATCCTTAGGGATCCTTATAGGGACTGAGCCACGGGATTTTAACCCTTGAGTTATTCCCCTCCCCATTCATGTTCTCTCCCAATGAGAGTAGTTCTTTCAAACTTCCTCTGGAGTGATTGATCTTTGACTCCAATACTGGATTGGCTACTTGGTCCACAAGTCTTGAGTTAAGGAGCCCCCTCCTCCCAGAGCCGTCAGGGACTTTTTGAACAAAGGAACACACGTGGATTTCTCTACCTAGGCCATGTGGGAAACCCAGACAAAGAACTTTACATTTCAAACCCCTCTGGTTTCCAGATGGAGGGGTGGAGAGGGAAACTTCTGCCTTTGAAAGTATGCCCCTTGCTGAGCTGGGAAGAGAAATTTTTCTTTAACACAGTACCTCAATACCACTGCTGAACCTGGAACTAGGGTTTGAAGTCTCATGTCTAATTGCATTTATCCATTATGTGTCCTCTTCCTGTGGCTTTTTCTATTGTGAGGTCTTTCATATGTCTGAATTTCTTCTGCTTCTCTGCCTCAGGCCCTTTCTGGAGAAGTGTACTAGCCTTCCAGCTTTAAATAAGATTTATGGAGGTAATTGTTTTGGACTGAGCTTCTGCACTAGGTGTCAGTAGACCAGACCAAATAAGAATGGGGTCACTCATAGTAAATGCCATGTAATGAGACTTAGAAATAGGCCAATTTTCCAAAAAGCCAGAGATTCAGCAACAACCATTGTAAAGAGGGTTAGTCAACTTGAGCCAGCATTACAGAGAAACCATGCTTTAACCCTATAAGGAAAGTAACTTTGAAAAGTCAAATTCTCTTCTTCCTTGTTTCTGCTTTTTTTTTTCAGGCTTTTCTGCCTATAAAACCCATGCCTTCTGCTCAGTCCACTGGAGCACCTTTCTATTTTGTAAATGAAATGCTGCCCAATAGAGGCCAATTAGATCTTTAAACTCAATGTGTTTACATTTTGTTCTTGACACAGTTGATCTTTCTGCTTTTAAATACTTTCCCCTCCAAATATTCCGGCAGGTTGTCTATAGGACAGTATTACCAATTCACTAATTTGTGCTATCCTTGCACAAAAGCCTTTATCAACTGTCTGTGACCCATTGAATCCAGTTAAACTTTTCCTCTTGGCATTGAAAACCTTGATCTTACCTGATCTACATGTCTGGGCTTATCTACTTAGCCACTGACATAAAACCTACATACTTGACAATCTAGTTGTTTTACATTTCCGCAGGCATGAGGAAATGTAATGAGAGAATTTTGTTAAATTGTGAAGTTAGCTTTGCCATTTGATAATAATCAGCTCAAGGACAGAGAATATATCTTGTACATTCTTGAATTTATTCCCCAACACAGCAAATACCCCTGTGGAGATGCCAACTAGAGATGCCAATTTTAGCTCTTCCATGAACTCCTGTGGCAAGAGGGAGGCAGCATGCAGGGCTTAGATGTAGAAGTCGGTCCGTGATGGCACGGGTCAAGGAGATGTGAACGATTGAGCAAGGGATTAAAAGTGATGGGCAAAACTGGGAGAGCTGGTGCTGAAGACACACTTGATCTGTTTAAATTTTCTGGAAGGGTCAGATCACTGTGAACAATCCTGATGTTTGCTGGGTTGGGGAAACAGCAGGCTTGTAGACTAACATGTGACTGGGAAGAAATGTTGACCAGGGTTTAAACCAATGTCAAGGAGAGAGCTCAGGTGGGTGGAACCCAGTGAAAACCAGTACACTGTCACTAGGTTGAGAGCTGGGAGGGATGAACCAGGCTAATAACCAGCTTTTCTGGGTTGGGGACAAGGGTGCTGCTGTGTTCTGAATGCTCCCCAAAATTCATAGTTGAAAGTTAATGCTCACTGTGGTTGAGTTAGAGGTGGGGCCCTTTGTGAAGTGATTTAGTTATAAAGGTTCCACCCCACCACAGTGGATTAGGGAACTAAGAGCTGGAGGAAACTAGCTTGGGTCCCTTTTGTTCTTCTGCTCTTCTGCCTTGTGAGAACATAGGACCCATCATCTTTTTGTCCTTCCATCTTTTCTAACACGTTGAGGACATCTAGAGTGCCATCTATGAAGAACAGGCCCTCACCTGAAACTGAACCCACCAGCACCTTGATCTTGGACTTACTAACCTTCAGACTGTGAGACAATAAAATTTTATTCTTTATAAACTATCCAAGTTCAGGTATTTTAAAATAGCAGCACTGAGCCGGGCTCACACCTGTAATACCAGCACTTTGGGAGGCCGAGGCGGGTGGATCACGAGGTCAAGAGATCCAGACCATCCTGGTCAACAAGGTGAAACCTCGTCTCTACTAAAAATACAAAAATTATCTGGGCATGGTGGTGCACGCCTTTAGTCCCAGCTACTCGGGAGGCTGAGGCAAGAGAATTGCTTGAACCCAGAAGGCAGAGGTTGTGGTGAGCCAAGATCGTGCCATTGCACTCCAGTCTGGTTAACAACAGCGAAACTCCATCTCAAAAAAAAAAAAAAAAAAAAAAAAAAAAAAAAATAGCAGCACAAATAGACTAAGAAAGATGCCTAACAAACGGCAAAGACAGCCTTGGCAGAAGGGATTACATAAGCTTAAGACCTCATTTTCGTGCAAAATTTTATTATGCATTAAGTTACTATTTCCCAGTGTCTGAGGAATTTTGGTCATTGTTTCCATGTGTGTATGTGTGTGTTTAGCTGGAGCCTAACAAAAGAAGGCTGTGGATGATGCCACCACTTCCTCACTTCCTGTAGCCACACACCAAAGTGCACTGGGAGAGGGGCTAACTCCAGAGCCAAAACCTGGGTCTGGGAAAGCTCTGAT